TTTGACAGTAGGATAAGCACGTACACCGGCCTCAGAACACAGATGGTAATCCTGCTCACAGTCTACTTTACCCGCCTTGATACGTCCATCTAATAACTACAACAATATTAACACACTGGTTAAAGGAGCTGCGCCACTGACAAAATTTATCAAAATTCAAACAGTGCTAACTGACACCTCAACAGAGGCCTCTTTGTGCCGCAGGGGGGCTGGGGAGAGGGAAAAAAAGTGAGCGCACGGTGGACGATGGGAAGGGAAAGAGAGGAAGCGTCTTCCCATAGTCCCCCGCGCTTATTGCTATTTTTACTGGGATACCAAGCGGGAGCCTGTGCAGAGGAGAGAGGAGCAACCGCTATTTTCCCCTTGGAGGGGAACGATGGCGCAGTGGTGAGAGTACTCGCCTCCCACCAATGTGACCCGGGTTCAAATCTCCGCGTCGACGACATATGTGGGTGTTGAGTTTGTTGATGGTTCTCTCCCTTGTTCAGACAGCAAGACAGCAAGAAACGTTATAGTGGGGTGAAAAACGAAAACATGTACCATTCTCTGTCCCCCTCACAGTGTTTTCCTTCGTATTTATGTAGTGAAAATGTCCCGCGGAAAACGCAGGAAATGGCATTTCCAAGACCGTAAATTAAAAAATTTTCTTAGGGAGTACACCCATAGACACCCCCTTGTTTGGAGCGCCTTCGGCGATCTAACTTTCCTTCCAGCACGTACACCTTCAAAATCTAAAGCTACGCCCCTGATACACATACCGATTGGCACTCACCTTTGCTACTTTCTCGAAGTCAGGAGCAAACTGAATACAATGCCCGCACCACGGAGCGTAAAAATCGATAATCCACGCACCTTCACTGCCAACAACAGCCTCATGGAATGAATAGTGATTGAGCTGCGTGACTAACGAAGGCAGGTGCTGAAACGCCCAGCTGTATAGAGAATCCACGTCACGCCATCCACGGTGGTTTCTAAAAGAATGCAGTTACAAAAGCGGAAAACAATCGGTTGATTTTATAGACAGTAAGACAATAATATTATGTTAGATAAGTTTGTATGTACAGTCAACTCTCTCGTTAAGACGGACACCTTTGGAACCGAACAGGATGACTGTCGTATAGAAAGCCAAATATCGGTAGTCAAAAAAGACAGGGACAAACTCTAGGTGTCCGTTTTACCGAGGTGTCCCTCTAAAAGAGATGTCCGTTAAGAGAGAGTCGACTGCACACGTAAATTTTCATTTTTTTTCCGACAAAAAAATCGCTATGAGCAACTACCTCTCTCCTCCGCAGAAACTTCGTTTTGACGCAGGGAGACTGGGGAGAGGGGAAAAAGAAAAGCGAAAAACCAAGAGAAACGAAGAGTCCATGTTTGGATGTTTTCATCCATTGGCTGATAAAACAAAAAACGAACACTTACCGAAACCATTTTTCAAGGTCATACTAACATCGCTCTAACTCTTTTCAATACTCACACAAAGCGACGAGCTCCCTGACTGTTGTAGGGGTACAACCGTATGGTGGGATAAGAATTCACTCCTTGCTCTTGACAGAACGATCGGTACTTTTGACAGTCTACTGATCCAACACTAGCTTCTTCTTGCATTTGCTGAGAAATGAAATGCACAATGTTTCACGTCTTCAACTCTAACCTCCGAACAATGGATAAACGGATAATGTTCTGACATTCAAACAACTGATTGTACACACAGGGTACTTTAGATATTTTACAGTGTGAAAATGAAAATCACTTCAAGCCCTTTGAAATTAGCCTTTAGGCGTGCTTGTGTAGGCTTTGTTGGACTTCACCCACTTGAACGAGGAGGCGTTAGCATCCGAAACGTTTTTACAAACGCCAACATAAAGCGCTTTAGGGTAATGCTCTTTTTCACACGACTGTCTTAAATATTTACAAGCGCCACACTCTTACTTCAGATTTTGCTGCTAAGTTCATTCACCATTTATTGTCAGAAAACAGCCGGATTATAACCTGATAACCCTGCTCCTTTGAGCCAATCAAGTTGTAGTGCTCAATATCCTAAGATAACGAACCGATAAGATTGCTTAAAACACACATGTCAACGACTGTGTGAACACAAATCTGTAATGTTCTTACTATACCTTGGCAAGTTTATTCCAATCAGGAGCGAGCTCATTACACGGCCCACACCATGGAGCATAAAAATCAACTAGCCAGGTTTCACCTTCCCTTCTCTCCGCAACAAGAGATTGAAATGTTTCTGGTGTTAACTGAACCACGGCGGGCTTCAGTGTATTCTGGAACAAAAAAGAGGATTTAATGTTGCTGTATTAAAATGCTTATCCGACATCAGACGAATTAAACTCATTCAGACGAACTTAACTGAGCTAGAAGTCGAACTTTTCATGTGATTGACTCACTAAGTTTGGTTTGTCTTATGAAAAGTTCGACGTTTGGCCAAGGCCTTTACCCTTTTAGACTGCAAAACAGTCCGTATTTTTGCTTATTCAAGTATGCGCGAGAAGTCAAACAAAAGGTCTGGAACGAGGCTGAAAGTGAGGCTCGGGCGCCTCGCGCTGGTAAGACACTTACCCCACGCTTTACCGATTTCTTTACTGATTTTGAGAAAAAAACCGACTGTTTTGCAATCTATAACCCTTTAAGTCCCAAGAGTGACCAACATCAATTTTCTCTAGACATCATCAATACATAATTAACAGAAAAGTTTATGAGAATAAATAGAATGATCACCTAAGGGCAAATGCTTCAATCTTTTATCAAATTCTCTTAACTAAGGAAATCAGGTGGTGTAGAGACCAGTTTGGAGAATTTGTATGTGGATATTGGGGCTTAAAGGGTCAACAGGGTTCATAAAAAAATTGCAACCATTTTTCAAGGACTTTTCAAGGACCACATTAGATTTTCAAGGACCACCTACTAGGAATATGATTTCACAGATTGTACAAAAATGTACATTCCCAGTCTATTCTAATAAGGCTTTAAGGCTTGAACTGTTTGCTTCACCAACTTCTCTACATGTTTTAGTTTACTGGTCTTGAATTGATAGTTAATTATTGCATAAAACATATAGCACTTTATTTATTAAATAACCTTTAAATTCTGTGCGCTATGATTTATATCCTGTCTTGGACAACCAAAAAGTATCAAAAAACTCTTTCCAGGCCACTACGTTCAAAGTTGAAGAAAATTCAAGGACTATTCAAGGACTTACCCGAAAATTAACTGTTTAATGAAGCAGATGACTTGCTTACCTCAACAAACTCCACTAAATCAGCGGCAGTATGGTGACCAGTAAATTGATGAGGAATGCTGTTGTTATAGAGGATTGTTGTTGGATATGAGCGAATATTATACTGAAAAATAAAGCGTCAAGAAGCTGATAAATCTCTTGTGTTTTGTTGCAAAGGAAGGAGCATGACAAGTGCCCTGTGTCAACTGCGAACGAGGAGAAATACCAGAATGTATTTAATGCCAAAAATTATCAAAAACCTTAAACAATTTTCGAGTGAAGCAAGTGTTTGCTCATTAATTGTCTGCTTCCTTTCCAGCAGCAGATGAAAAATAACTCTGCTAATCCCGCACAAGAAATAACAAGTTCATGGATCTAAAACGCGGTGTCACTCAACATCGAAAAAATCGTACGCTGAATGCATAGGGAAGGAGTAATGAGAACGCTTACGTAGATGGCTTCCTTATGTGATAAGCCTGCGCGCGTGCCAGGCGTCCGAAAGGGAAGGAAAAGTGGATTGTTGGCGCGAGAGAAGCATGAGGAGCGCGCGAGGAAGGAGGGAGGAAACGTGTTCCCCGCCTCCCTTCTCCCTCGCGCACGGTCTCTCACCCAAACCCCCTTCCCCTTCTTTTTCGAACGCCTGCCACGCAGGCTATTATGTCATAGGTTTTACACATTTTTTCCAGAATTACTTTTTTTCTTGCAGCGAAAATTCGAAGAGAGAAATCTTTAAAACATACTAGACATTATTCTTCTAGGACTGCTTGAAATTCTTACTCTTTGAAAGACTGGAGATGTTTCAGATTAATTTGTCCATCGAGATGAAATTTTGGGAAGAAAAGTCGATTGTTTTGCTGTCCGTTTTGATGACCAGTCTCTCTCCAGAGGAAGGAAAAAAAGAGAAAATGTAAGAGGGATAGAGGAGGAGGAAAGAGAAGCCTTTTTTTCTTTTTCTGCATTTGCGGTATCCAAGGTTGTTTCCCTCTCCTCTCACCCTGGCTCCAGAGGTCTGTTCTCAAAATACCTAATACGCTGATTTAGCAACAGAACGGGAACGTCATTTGACGACGGGAAAGCGCGCGGAAAGGACTAAACTCGACTTTCAGTGCCCAATTTGCCGCTCTGCTATTGGTCAAGCCAGTTGTTTGATTTGCGCGCGCCGTTATCAACTGACGTTCCCGCTCTGTTGCTAAATCAGCCTAATATGAAATAAACCGTGCTCCTGATGTTAGCAATAATTAATGCTACATGAATAAATTATGAATATATTGAATAATTTACTAAAGTGCATCTTACCGTATGACATAAATTAGGGTGCACTGTACAGTCTACCGTACCAAAGCCAACTTCGCCATCTTCAAATGAACGGGCAGCTTTTCTGTATTCAGGTAATAAACGCATACAAGGCGGACACCACTGAAAGATGTAAAAAGTAGATAACTTGAATCAACGGCCGTGAGAATTGTCGAAGGAAACCTCTACTGTTGTGACAAATAGGCCATGTTCACGATGGCGTCATTTTACTACTACGACCAGAATGCTTTACGTTTTTCCTTTAATATTTTAATTTGATTTTGTCGAATAAAATAAAATAGAAACATTTCCCTCTGCCTCGTATCCAGACGTCTCTCTAGCGCGCAAAGGAAGGCGAGAAGGAGACAACGTCTGTACCCTTCCCATAGTCCCTTGCGGCTCATCACCAGTCGCTCGCCTCTACCGTGCGAAAAACGAAGCGCCTGAGGAGGAGGCTGCATTCCCCTTGTTTCAATTTCCCGCGCGCCACCATTTTGAACTTTTAACGTCATTTTGGGTCAGCCGGTCAGCTATTGGCCAATTTTTTTCCCTGTCCCTAGTGACAGTTCCAGAAGTCTTTGCAAAAGTTAATTCGGCCCAGTTTCTTCTCGTTTCTAAAGTGACGAATTCCCTTTAAAGTCCGAGTCAAAGCGAAGTGATGCCATCTGACTCCCTAGTACCTAATCTAAGCCTTAAATTTAAATGGAAGTTTCTGGGTGGTACGACAAGGGACATAGCATGATGTTCTTACTGGAGCAAAAAAATCCACAAAGAACGGAAGTTCAGGCTGGGAAATTTGTACAGGGAAATCGTCAGGCCCTAGAGTCCGGACGCTGGAAGATGCACTCTCTTTCGCAAACACAGCAATGTCGTGGGCAGTAAAGCGGCCTGTTCAATAAAGAAAAATTGATTATATTACCAAGAGCATCTACCTTTAACTACCACTTATACCCCCCCAACCTCGCCCCCCCTTCCCCCCCCGGATTATAGGGCTATACATACCGTGATGCCACTCATAGTGACCACGTGTTTTAAACAGAGCTACCATTGGATATTTTCTGACATGAACCTGCCGGCATATCTCTGTTTCTTTACTACAATCAACATGACCAACCTACAAAAAGAAAAATCAAACTATTATCTTCATCCAACCAAAAATCACACCCCACAACAAAAACGTGCAACTTGTTTTGCGCATTGCTGCAAAACGAGTTGAATAACGCGTTTTACCACCCACGAAAACAAACCTGTCCTGCATCAAATCAGGTCGTTGAAAGCTGCAAAATGGTTTTCCAGAAAGCAGCAAGAAGTTCTACTTTTTCCAACAAAATCTGTACATGTTGCGCGTTTTACCGTGTATGGCCTCGATGGCATCAACCTGCCCAGGCTTCCACTAACTGCATCCCTCTGAATACGATGTAATATATCAAGCATGAGACGCAGTGTTTCATCACCAGATGAAACACCGAGAAGAGAGTTGAAAATACGACGCGTAGCGGAGTATTTTTGATGAGTATTTTTGATGCAAAACTGAGCAGTTTTTCATCTGATTTCCAAATGCGCTCATTAAACATTTTAAATTTCCTTTGTATTTTCTTTATGAGTTATTAATAACTTTGAGAAGCTAGATTCTGAATCGTTTACAGATGCAACTGGAACTTATAAAACTTACATTAATATCTGAAGTGAATGCAGGAAGTTTTCTGATTTCTAAGTTGTCCATGGGTCCCCTATCAAAATGTAAGACCCATGGCAATTCTGTGGCGGAGGAAAGTTTTGTCTTCATGTCCTGTTAGGCAAAAAATACATGCATTATAACACCAATTACTACAGTCGAAACTTCATGTGCGACCACCTCCCATAAGCGACCACTTAGCAAAAACACCGAAATTTTCCCAGTCAAAGCCTTACAGTTGGAACCTCTCATAAACAAGCCCCTCGGCCACTTTTTAGGTTGATGGTTTTAGAATTTTCCATTGTTTTTAACCTCTGGTAAGCGACTATCTGATACAATGGTCTGATCTTTACGTTTGCTGTATGTACAATGCTACTTATAGTATGACAAGAACCGTTAGAAACTGCATTGGTTTACATTCATTGCAACCTAAACATTGCATGCAATACAATCTCTGCAAAAAGTAGACGTGTTCGGATTTCTCGCCTTAAAAGACATTCCGCAGTTCGACTCTCGTAAGAGACCACCTCTCGTAACGTAAGCGACAACTAACTCTTTGCATTTGGGGTGGTCGCTTACGGGAGTTATGCCATGTAAAACCTGTACATACAGTGTTACAGAAAAGAATAATATCACGCTAGGGCTTTCATGAATCATCAAGAAAAAGGAAATGAGAATAAATAAAATGATCTCCGAAATCTCTTTGATCTTTTATCAAATTGTCTCTAGTAATTCTTTGAGAAAAGTACGCAAGTCACTCTTGAGAATGTGTATTTGGATATTGAGGCTTAATCCTTTAGGTCCCTTGGAAGAGTGACCAATATCAATTTTCTCTTAACAATATCTACGCATAGTTAAAAGGAAAGGCAATGAGAATTATTGAAATGATCACCAAAGGGAAATCGCTTTGACCTTTCACCAAATGCTCTCAACAAATTCTTTAAGAAATGTATGGAGATCTGTCTGGAGAATTTGTATTTGGATATTGAGGTTATTATATTAGCAGACGTAATCTAACCCCGGTTAGTAACGTCTCTGAAACAGCGCCAATATGTTCTGGGCGCCCAACGGACTCAAGTAATTACCGAAAGTGGGTTTCGAATTTCCTTTCGACCTGATTGGCAAATCAACAATGGCATCTTTAACAGGCCAATCATGGCGCGTAGTCAAATCCTGGTACACAGGTGGGGACTCACAACAAGGATTTTGGGGCTGTTTCGCAGACGGACTGTGACTGAAGTTTAGTTTCGTCTGTGACGCAGGCTAGGGGTTAGTTGGCCATCCCTGAATTACCGGTAACCCAATCCTCTTTGTCTAAATGAGGGTCAGTTTGCTATGAAAATAATCTTCTTTTCTCATTCAAATAAAACTTACAATGTATTGCCACATGGAAGGGCTTGCACGTTGCCTCGTTTTGAAAAGAGGGTTTATGTAACTCGGAAATGTGCTTTCTCAATAATTACCTCAAATGTTTGAAAATCCACATTTACTGGATCTGGCAGTTTCTTCAGTGCAAAACTCACAATCTCTTTGGTTTCTAGACTGTCAATAATCTGTTGGAAAAAGCAAAACGAAAGAGCGAGAAAGAAAATACTTGCTTCTTGACATGTCTTTTTAAATACCGATTTACCTTACAAGACCCAATTTGATGACAACGTCAAGCTTATCTGAGTTTTTTATATATTGTAGGTAGCCTGCATAGCTGGCTCCGGTTTTTTAAACGTTGGATAGTGCTATCCACCAGATAAATCGCTATCCAGTGGATATGAGGAAAATCAATTGCGTTATCCACTAGGTAGAGATTTATCCAGCCGCACCTTTAGAACAACTACCCTGGTGGTTTTTTGGTGTTGATGTTTCTTCTTTTGTGGTTCATAAAGTAAGAGAAACACCTGTGCGAAAGCCAGAACCGAGGTCGAACCAGAAAATGATGGGGAAGGGGGGAGGAGAGGAGGGGAGGGGAGGGGAGGGGAGAAGGGTAGTGGGAAAAACTCTCTCCCTACCCCTCGCTATCTGCATCCATCGTTTACTCTTTTGACCTCGCGCGCGGCCGTATAAATACGAACCAAAAACAAAATTCGCACCAAAAAAGCCGCCAGCTACACAGGCTAAAATATAGAAAGTTTGTAGTTGACAAACTGAATGCTCAAAACCTGAAAGGGTTTTATATAATACCCACAAGCTAGAAAAACATTGTTTTCGTCAAGTAAAACAAAAGATTTTACAACAAGGTTCAGGCCCTACCTCTCCTTTTTTGGGTCCAACTTCATCCTTGAAGTAAACCAGATCATCGCTGTAACCAACTTCTTTACATAATCTTTTACTTGCACCACAATCAATACTGCCAATATTGACTAAGTTATCCTAAAAAAAAATCAAATGGTAAAAATCTCTGTCGTTACAACAGCAATCTCTTTACAACTACATCTTCTTCTCCTCAGCCATTAAAGTTGTGAGCTTAGCACGTCATAGGATAAAAGGAAAGATTACAAGTTAACCCTTTAAGCCCCAATATCCACAAACAAATTCTCCAAACTGATTCCTATACATTTCCTATAAGAATTAGTTGAGAGAATTTGATAAAAGACCAAAGCATTTTCGCTTTGGTGATTATTTTACTAATTCTCATAACCTTTTCTTTTGAGAACCTATGGATATTGTTGGGAGAAAATTGATGTTGGTCACCATTGGGACTTAGAGGGTTAAACAACAACAAGTTTGACTCCAGCAACAAAACTTTTCATAGGTCATTACTCATTAACTATAAAGGCTGTTGATCGAAAAGCTACTAAGGGCCAGTTCATACAGTCATTGATTTGCTTCTGCCCTGCCTGCTAAACTTATTCTTGAATTACGTTCAACAAAAGCTTAGCACAAGCACGACATCTCAATCAAGTTTTGAATTTGATTCAGCAGGTTAATCAAGTTCAACAACAAGGACTCTAGCACAGCAGTGATTCAAACATCATGCCTATGCCGAGATGAATATGGAAATATAACTATCAACCTTACCAAAATTGCAGCCAGTTTGATTTTAGTATCTGAAGTGAGACAATCTGTAAGATAAATAATGGCCATGACTGAATTGGACCATAATGATATGTATGTGTTGCAGGTAATTCTTGATTTCAGTTAATTTCTATTTCTCCTTTGTTTAAATTCATTAGCATACATTATCATACCCCAAAACGATGGAAAAGTAAAAATTAACTGACATAAAAAATGAACTACAACATAAATTTTAAAATTCAAGATGATAATCCAAGCCTAATACAAAAAAGCAATAACCAGCAGCAAAATAAAAATGTTAAAAGATCAGTTTTAATTATTTTGGTAAATGCGGCAAATTCTAGTCATGTCAAACAAAGCTATGAAATTGTGCCCACTCACCCACCTCTCAGCAAAGTTGCCTTCTTTGGAGGGGGAGGGGGAGTGGTCAGAATAGCAGAGGAAACACACTCACTGACTCCTCCCTGACCTCGTAATAACTTTCACACCGTTCTAACAGACTTTGATGCAGTAAGCATCTGACCAGAAGTCAGAAAATGTAAGGCTAGTAATAATATTTAATATTCTTACTAACTAATACACATATTTTGTTGCCAACTAAAGCTGATATTCAAACTCAAGTGCTTTAAAAAAATTTGGCCACAACCATTCTATTACATGAAAAGACAAGGATGGGACTCACCTCCACCACGTTCACAGAAATCAATTAACCAGGGTTCTTCACCTTTGTTTATATGCTTTTCAAAATTGCCTGCAATAAGATTTTGGAGTAATAATAATTACGAAAATGTATACACTTAATGTCGTTTAATTTGCCTTGTACATTTTTCAGGTTACATGATGGAGATTATAAATAATACAATGAATGTACAGTATATACAGTAATAATTGTCACAGACACTGAGATTTCTCTGTAATGACCTCGCTCTCGGTTAATAAGTGGTATATACTGCGTTATTTTAAGCAAAAAAAAAAGTGCTTCCACTCTGCTCTTTGTGCCTTCTTGGGAATGTTAAAAACAGGCAGCATTTAAATCAGAGCTCTTGCACGCGTGAAGCATGAGCAGCAGAACACCATGGGTAAGAAAATTTGGTTATTCATGCATCGGAGAAATTTTGGTAGTCATGTGACCGTACACCCATCGGCCTGCCCATCTGTCTGCACCACAGGATAACCAATGTGAAATGATATTTTTTAGTTGGTTTGAGAGCCTGCAACCTGTGTTTAACTTGATAATAGACATCCATGTTATGGTCAATTGACAGCTGTCAAAAATGATTATCTGCTGACCATGCCAGTATCACATGACCATATCACGGGCTCAGGTTTCAACTTATTGAGGTCCACTTGTCTTTAAAGTTTTCTGGGCTGCTGACCAGTTATTAGCTTTTAATATTGATCGTGAGGCTCAATTTAAGTTCAGTTATTTCAGCAGCGATTGTTTCTTGTCCATTGAGCCCCTCCCTCAAATAAAAGTGTACATCTGTGGATTTCTTTGCAATAGTTCCAAGTTCACTGTTCAAGTAAATTATAACTGTGATGGGAGCTTTGCTTTTAGCTCTGGCTATCAATCTATGTTACAGAAAACCAACCTGAATAATTATGGATAAAAGCTCAGTTTTGTTAAAAAATGGCTTAACTCGAATAGTAATGAATTTCTGTCTTCATTAACCTCTCCATTATTTCTGATAACCCTCATATCTGATTAAGTAGGTGATGGGGGTAGGGGGATGGAGTAAACTAATACTGAAATGTGTTCTTACCCTCCGATAAACGATAGAGATTAACTTCTAAGGAATCCAGTATATAACTGACAAGTGATCTAGTGCTTCTTGAACCTCGGTGAAATTCATGCTAGAAGTAAATGAAAAGGAAAAAATGCTCTTTTATCAGGGCTGACATTTTAAGAAGCCAGCCTCTCAGGGAAAGTAAATCAAACAAATGTATAAAAATGCCAAAATATGCTTTAATTATTGCCAGCTGTACACATGTAAATTGAGTGGACACCTTTAGAACGGCTGATACTCACAAAAACAGATGTAAATAATTATGACAGAAAGCAACTGTAATCATGCTGGACAACTTTTTTGTATTAACTTTGATTTCCAGATATTTAGAACAGCAGATTTTAAAACAAAGGCATATACTGACAGCCTTCTATCTCACTTGTTTTCAATATATGTATTTTAATTCTGCTCCTTGGTGCACTCATGAAAAAATTCAAAGGGATGCTGTATGCCCACTGATCAATGGGAACAAAGTATCCCATTGAATTTTTTTCTCAAAGACACGATACACATTTGTATATGTTCCTTTACGGATCTTTCACTTCTTTTATTTGCTAGAGTTTATAGTGTTACAGTTTTTATTATGGCCTTTGCAAATTGTAACAGTTTGGAAATTTTGTTGCAGTGTGCATAGGAAAATATTATTCTGCTTGATCAATTAATACAAGTTGGTTTGCCTAAATTACTTTTTTTTAGCCACTCTGGCACTTTCAAAAATCCTGAATTTTCCCTTGTGCTACTGCAGCATGCAGTATACCATAAACTACCCCTTATGAGCTCCCCCTACCCCCTGTTATAGGCCTATCTACCTGTAGACTTAAAAAAACAATCCGATCATATGCCCCCCTAAAAATGTATTCATTTGATTAGAATGAATTCAATGTATTATGAGACTTTGACTGTTAATTAAAAACCAGTAAATGCAAAAAGTATTTTAATCAGCACTACAATCAGCACTGCTATACAGCACTTTATTTATTCAAGTTATAAGCCCTTTTGGACGTAAAGCCTCTTGGTTTATAAGCCCCCCTAAACCCCTTATGAAGATGTATATTATTAGCCCAAGGCTGTTATAAGTGACCCTTTACAGCACTTGGAGTACAAAAGTAAAATACTTAATACTATGGTTTATTTTTAGTAAGATTGTTTATATGATTACCCAATGTACAGTTTCCTCCTTTCTACATCATTCATTTACTACTTAGAGATGAAGTTTGTAAGTGTTCTAAATCATTCATTGAGCAACAACACAGACTTTTTATTAGTTTTTGCAACCTATTAAACTTACTGTTGGGTAGAATACAAGAGAGGGATAACTTTGAATTCCCTGCCGCCGACACAAGTTCCATTCTTCTTGGCAATTAACAGCACCAAATCTAATCACTCCTTCAAGCTCCTTAGCAACTTCTCTCCACTGACCAGTATTAATATTAATAAAAACAACAAAGGGTTAGCTTCACTGTTTTTATTAACTTTTATTTTAATTGGTAGGAGTTAAAAGCACTACTATACTGTCATGTATTTTACTCAATATAAAGCAAGATCAATAAGCCCGCAGAAAATTACTAATAGTAAAATAAACTGTAGTTTTAAAGGTAAAATTAACACTGCTATCAAGAAAAAGGAATAAAAAACGTTTCTAAACAATAGTTATCCCATATAAACTGCAGATTCAAATGCATTCCGTGTCTACCAGGTCAAGTTTGTCAAAAAAGGCAGGGGGGCATTTAACAGAGAAAAAATACAAGGTACAAAAATAAAAGGGAACAATAAAAGCTTCTGAAAGATACCATAATTATTTTTTGACCCTATTTTAACAATTATCAGATGGGAAAACCTGACAAAAACCTAAAGTAAGGATTACCTGTTAATTCAAGAAAATGTATCACTTTGCTTTTCTTACCGTTGGTGCTAAATCATGACAGTGTGAACAAAACGGGGAATAAAAGTTGATAAACCAAATATCTTCACTTCCTTCGACTGACACCTCTGTTAAACAAACAGTACAAAATATTTCCTAATAATCAAAATGCATTACGTATTACATTTAATTAGTATTGTTAACGGGACTGAGTGGAGTCCAATTCAGTCTGTAATCATACGAGTGACTAACAAAATCGGACGACCGCGTAGCGGGAGTCCGATTTGTTTAATCACAAGTATGATTACAGACTGAATTGGACGACACGAAGTTCTGTTACCAATTAATCATAACTTTAACAAAATTTGTGATATATTAATATAAGCCCTTTTTTAAAATCAAAACAGAAGAAATTCCAAATTTTTTTATGCTAGTAGTGAAAAAAAGCCATTTAAGCGCACTCGTGATGGCGCGTACTGTCCAATTACTTGGGCATGACGCGTACTGTCCTATTAAATTGTCCAATTAAGGCTGAAATCAGGGGAGTTGATAGCCAATCAGATTTGAGAATTTTGTTATAGTTATGATTATCATTATTATCTTTCATGGAATGTCCAAATAGAACACATAGTCAAAAAGGCCAACAAGCGTTTGTACGCATTGCACGCGCTTAAAAAAAGTGGCCTCACTATCACGCAGCTAATACAAGTGTACTGTAGCATTGTAAGATCTGTACTTGAATATGCTTGCCCTGTTTGGGCTGCCCTGCCAAAGTATTTAGAGGACGCTATAGAATCTGTACAAAAAAGGGCCCTATGCATCGTTTTGCCGAATTGTCACTATGATGACGCCCTCATTCAATCTGGCATCACTGCCCTTTCCCAGAGAAGGGAGGAATCCTGCATAAATTTTATCGAGCGTGACTGCCTGTCGTCCCCGGTACTCAAGCCATTAATTCCTTGTGCATCAATTGACAGGCCATATTGCCTCCATTCAGGCGAACATTTTCCTTTGCACATTGTCCCCAAGACAAAGCGGTTCGCAGATTTCTGCACCATTAAGTTTCAAGACCAGTTGTAATCCTGTGCTCTGTTATTTTTTCTCTGTTATGTGGTGCTTTTAATCATATTTACATTAATTTCTATTTCATTGTTTATTGTATTGTATTGTCTTCTGTTATTGTCACTGACCTTCCTTGTAATTTAGCCTTTAGGCCGCAAGAGGGATATCAATAAACTATTACTTATTACTTACTTATTATAACCATTGATAATTATACAAAGAAAAAATGTAAATAATATATTTAATTTACATATTATTATTATAATTATTATTATTAATATCAAGGGAGCAAGTCATATTGAATGAGCAAGGGTCTGTTAGGGACAATCTGCTGGTACTTAGAGGTCAATATAACTACTATGATGACCAATCAGATCTCCTGACCAGATTCCAGACAGATTAATTTTACGTCATCAGTATGGAATTTCTGGCGCAGAGTCCCTGACGTTTCTCCTGGCAAAACATCCTTACTGGCGAGGAACAAGAAGAAACAGGAGGAGGATGGACTCATTTCCCAAATGGCAGCTAGAAATCTAGCCCGGGCTAGCAATGACAAAAAATTATACCAGAATTATATTTAACATCACTTTGGCAAGGATTAGCAACATTTTAAGTTTCCCCATGTGTTTTTGAGGTAAAACAGTTAAGAAAGGGGTAGGTAAATTTTAAGCTAATTCAGGAACTAATTGATGCTAAAATGTCACCAAAACAGGACAAACTTATCCTGGTCCTCACTACCATCCAATGTTGTTTTGGTTGACTAAAAACAAAGACATATGATTCAAAACAAAATTGGGAGAGAGGATGAACAGATTCATTTAGAAATACATTCTATTTTTGCACAGATGATAGGAAAAACCATAGAGGATTTTTCCAGTTTATCTCAACTAGTTTTGTGGGAGGTAATCTACAGTATAAATATATCATTAACACACCCACCAAAATCTGAGTAGCTTAATGTTATAATCTCTGGGTCATCATCATAAATTCCTGTGATAAGAAAAATGTCAGTAGTTAGCAACATAATATTTGATTTTACAGTACTACATGTACACAGTTGTATATAAAACAGTCTACCGTATTGTTGAATGAACACCAAGAAGTTCTCACCTATTTTTTCAAGGACCTAAGCTTTTTAACTCACTATGACAATGAAGTCAACAAAACTCTCAATCCCTTTTCTCCGTTACGAAAATATTGAAGATTAAATTAATACATAAATGTGAATTTCCGATCTTAATTTCCATCTTCAACTTAACACCATCTTTTCTTCAGTTGATGTAAACAGCTCTAGCCTGTAGTTTGAGAACGCCTAACCTCTCATAAGCTTCTCATAGTTTCTGTTAGGTCTCCTTGCCACTTATTTTTTCTACATATCCTATTTTATTTGTAATTCATTATTGTGTGGCAAATAAAATAAAAATAAATAAATAAAAAAGGGTTGGTACTAGATTTGATCTGGTGATGATTGGTCGTATTGCATCTAATTCTTACTACTTTAAGTTCCAAGAGAAAAAGAGAAAAATGATAATGCAAAATTTTACGGTGCAAAGTGTATTTACTATTATGAAAATGTTAAAGTAGAAATTAATATGATAAGTAAAGAAAGATGAATGAGAAAAAAATGGGAAGTGATGTGATCAACAAGTCATAAGCACAGGACAAAAAAAAAATCTGGGTCCTCGACAGGAATTGAACCAATGACCTTCTGTACACCGGTCAGATGCTCTAACCACTGAGCTACAAAGGACTTGTGGCGAGTTGGACCATACGCAAGGTTCATGTATGACATGCATCCTATATACTGCTAGGATCATTAATGTCGAAATCGTCATGTGTGTGATAAATAAAGAAAGGTGGTAAATTTTAAGCTCAGTGAAGAAGAGGCTTGGTGAATATGTAACAGGCACTGAAGATCTACACGTACAAGACTTTTTTAGTGGTTTATTAACAGGAATAACATTATAGTGGCTGTAACTTACAAACTTAAATTAAGTTCAAATAAAAAAATGAAGTTAAAACAACTCATCTCCTCTGTAAATGCCACAATCTTACCAAATTCCTCATTAAAATAATTCCAGCTTTGGTAATGTCCTCCATCAAAGTGGTCGTCTTTTAAACCCTCTTCACCATACACATCATACTTTTTACGAAGCTCTTCATCTAAATTAAAACAGTAACACACAAATAATGTATCTCTCGCAGGTCACCAAAGGTAAATAAAAATGATTATGTACAGGTATTTAAAAAACACATACACCTGTATTCCACTTTACTCTGACACAATGGACAATGATGTAATAAATATCATGTCACACAGAAAAATGTAAGAAGCCCTGACCACTGGTAGTCAACTCTCTTAGGTGCAGAGCAGAGATACTCAGTAGGATGGCTAACAACTTGCCACTTTAGAAAATGAGGAGAAAACTGGGGTAGGATTACTTTCGCCAAGACTTCTTGAACTGTTACTAGGGACAGGGGAAAGAACTGGCCTATAGCTGACTGGCATGACCCCAGTATCCCTGGGGAGGGGGGGTACTTCCTTGTAAGGGGCTAATGGGGATGTGCCGCTGGATGGGGTTGCACTTTCACAACTGGATTTACTATGATGGGGTAGCAATTTCAATAGAGTTACTAGAATGGGGTCGCACATTTTCTGATGTTTGGGGTAAGACAATTCTTTATCTGTATTTACAAAACGTACCAGAGCGTTTGTACTGTAGGTGAAAAGGAAAGTGTTCTTCATTCAATATAAGGTAGATACATAAACAGAAAGTGAATAAGTTGGGATTGCAGGGTCCAAAATTGCGCCTTCCTGGTCGCCAATGTGAGTAAAAATTTAGTCCTGGCGACCAGAATTTCATAGCTGGTCACCAGCTAGCGACTTGTAAAGCTGGTTGTTATTGTGGACTTAAACGTTCGGAGAAACTGATTAAAAATTGAAACCTCGAAAAGCTATTTGCCAACAGGTGTCTTCCTTTTTGTCCTGCTGATATTTTTTAATTAAAAGGGAAACGAATCTTCCTGTAATAATACCTCTACAACAGCTACGATCAATACGAGTTGAACGTTTCCAAGCCGCCATTATGAGTAATGTGGCACAAAAAAAATGTGGCCTGGTACGAGCAACATGGCGGTTATGTTTCGTGGTTGTTTTGCGGATTGTTTTGTGGTAGCTATCGGAAGAAAATAGTTTTGATATGATCCGGTACAGTCATGGGCAGACAGCTTTCTGTTCCTACGTTCTAGATCAGATGGCTTTACATGTATATCTCCAAAAAGTAATTTGTGGAAAAAATGAGACTTTACTCGTACACGTACGGTTTCTTTCTGGTATCGGAAGCGCAAGTATTGCAATTTTTAAGCACAAAAACGTCCATACCATGCATTTTTTATTCGTGTTTAAACTTTTATTTGAAAAAAAGGGAGGGGGAATTTTTGGCGACCACAATTTGCCCTCTGGCGACCAAAANATTCGTGTTTAAACTTTTATTTGAAAAAAAGGGAGGGGGAATTTTTGGCGACCACAATTTGCCCTCTGGCGACCAAAAATTTATACTTGATCGCCAGTTGGCGCTCGTATTAAAAAGTTAATTTCGGACCCTGGTCATTGTGAAAATTACGTATTTGCCCCAAAGTGACTAAGATGGGGTCTATAATTAGGCCACAAAATAGACTATAATGGGGTAGGGGCTCTGAGAGGCCAGCGGCACATACCCAGCAAAAATTAACACAAGTAGCCCCCTCCCCCCTCCCCGGGCCAGTATCGATGCCAAAAACATTTACAGGACGCATTTTGGCTTCAACTCCCTTCTCAATTCTTAAGTGGCCGACAGGTGCAAAAAGACTGCACATAGTCCCTTTTCAGTCAGTTGCCTTCTGATCCCCATTTTTCCTTTAAGTCTACTGGCTCCACTGTGGGGAATTTGCAGTTTTCTGAAGAAAAAAAGGGAAGGGAATGACTTCCCTATAATTAATCAGGGTTGGCCATGGACTTTGGGAAAACAAAATGACTTTGCATAAACGGTATATGGTATGGTAGGTTTGGACTTAAGGTTTCTGGGAAACTGCCCACCTACCTCTCCCCTAAGTCAACATTAACACTTACTTCTCAATTAGGGCAAAATGTTGGGTTAGGTGAGGGGTGGGGTAGGTGGGCAGTTTCCCAGAAACCTCAATTGATCCAGATTTCCATACAGGTTAAAACATTTATTAAGCATCACATGTTTCAACTCTATTCATATTATTTATCTGCACAAAATAGTGTAAAATTGCTGGATGCCTAACAATTCTATGGCATTGTAAGGGAATCTTACCTAAGAAAAGAATTGGGGGGAAATTTTGGGTATATTGACAAATTAATTTAAGTATAATGGTAGATTAATACCAGACATAGTTAATCAATAAAAATCGATATCAGAAATCAATCGATATCATCGATATTAATCAATTTAATCTGCCGATTAATATTGATTGATATCGGAAATCGATAGACATCGAAGTCACAGAAAAAATAATTTATCGATTATTATTGATTAACAAATTGATAACAACCAATAAAAACTTCATCATCGATTTCTATCAGAAAATCATCAATGTTAATCGAAGTCACAACTTTTTTCTTTATCGATTTCTGTCGATGGATATTGGAAAACGATAATCATCGATGATTGATATCGATTACTATCGATTTTTATCGATTATAAGTTTATCGATTTACTAAGTCTGGATTAACACTACCCGTCTGGCTTACCCTGTTAATGTAGTCTAGTTCATTTGGTTTATAGTGAGAGCTACGCTGTTTCAAATAATTTCCTGAGGGGAAAACATTGTCTTTAAAAGTAGTAAGGTCATGTGTTCCCAGCTGCTGAATAAGTTCAATAAAATTTTAGAAAGGTATAATCATTGCATTTGGAAGCAATATTAATTATTTCAGACTATAGCTACATGTATTCTATGCACGTTGTATTACGATATGACAACGTTAGCGAAATAGCATTCCACTAAAATTGAATATTTCACATATTTTAGGTTGCTAACCTAGAATTATAGTCATTAAAAACACAGCTGACTTTTGATTGTAAGCTTAATTTTAAGCTCAGTTATAATTACAGAACAACAATAGTACACGTAAAAAATGTAATGTATAAACAGTCATAAAATTAATGGCTACTGTCTTCTCCTGTTCCTACCTTTTAAAACCTCGTAAGCTTTATTTATCGTTGTAAACTTTTCATGAGCTTGAGGATCATCCTGTTAAAAGCAAAGAATATATTTCAAAATAACACCAGCTGAAAAAAACCAAACAGGAAAATATTGAAGTATCACAAAAGCTGTGATCAAACTCACGCGTACAAGCTCTGATAACATACCTTGTTTTTATCCGGGTGAAGCTTTAGCGCTATTTTTTTGAATGCTTTTCGAATGTCCTTACTGCTAGCATCCCTAGAAATGCCTAATAACTCATAATAGTCCTCGGAGAATACTGGATAATACAGGAAAGTGGACAATAAAATAAATAATGCCGGTGAATTCATCCTTGGTCTTGCTGGTGTAATTTTTGAAAGATTTGACATAACAAGTAGACCCAGTCCCCTTTCAGTTGCGCGGGTGACACGTAAAGGATTCGTCAAGTCCTCTGCGCATGTTTTGATTCTCAGTAGACGTGTCCATTCATTATTTGCAGTAGATCTTCGTTCCTTTCGTGGGCCTCAAGTGTACTTAACATCGCGGAAATTATGTCCCTATGCATGAAAAAAGACTTATAGGACAAATTCAGATAAGGAAAACATATCCCTTGAAATACGCAATGGAAAAGAAAAGTCTTATGATCGATCTCATTATTTTCTTGCCCAAAGAGTCATTTCCATTACCCCTGTCCAAAGACATGGAAAGTGCGAATTTCCGGCGAGCGAAATCAGATCGGGGAAAAAAGAAGTTTCATTCCTATCCCTTAGTTTCTAAAACAACAAGGAAAAACTGGCATTAATTTTAGTCAGTATACTTTGGTTCATACTTTCACAACTACCTGCCTCCTCCCCTTGAAGGCAATAAATGGAAAAACATCAGGAGCCAATCGGCTACTGAAAAAATAAAGCGCGGTTTTCAGAAAAGGGCACGTCCTCAAAGAGGTTCCGGAGGAAAATAAACCAGCGATGTACGAGTCGATAAGAGAGATTTTAATTAAACTGCTAACTCTGTGAACACAAAAGGTCCAAAAGTGAGCAATGGATCTGGTTATGTAAATAGCCTTTCATCATTTCACAGATTATTGTCAGCAAACAAGGCTCTAGTTGCTGAGGTTACAGCATGTACAGCGGGTATATGAATCTTTTAAAACTCGTCGTCTAGTTTGCATAGCTTTACGGAGACGGCACAAGAGAAAACAGATGGGACTGAATGACAGAAACGGGTATGTTATCCAGATAACTGGTCAAGAACCATTTTTATATAAAATGAAGTACAAGTCAAGTTAAACACGAACAAGGCCAAATCTCTGCTCGTTACAGGGAAGCGTATCGCTGATTACTAGGAGACTAGATCAAGACACAGCCCCATGCTTGACGATAATGCTCGATAAGGCTGAAATCTCCAAGGTCCCTTCACAAAAACGTTTAGGTGTAACTCTTTACAGGAACATGGCTTATGATTCTCACGTTGACGATCTATGCAAGAAATTATCAAAACACATCGGTCTCTTTAAGCATTCAAGTCCCTATCTACAAAGGAAACAAAGAGAAACTTGTTATAAAGGAGTTATGAAACCGACTCTAATGTATGGTAGCACGGTTTGGGACAGCTCTTTTGCGGAAAGTCTGCAAAGGGTTTCTCAAGCTTCAGAAGAGGGCGGCAAGAATTTTAAGAGACGCAGACAGAAAAACGCTATCGATCACGCTTTGTTTCACAAAGCAGTCGTTAATTAAAAGACTCACTTTAATTTATAACCAATTAGATAATAATTTTAGTACCCCGATTTACATAGATAGTTTATTCCTGATTAGGAATTCGGACATCCATCAAAGAGAGATTCGTTATTCCGATTTAAACTTGCTTTGTCCTAAGTAGATAAGGAAAACTGAGGGAGGGCGAACCAAGGTTAGGACAATTGCGCGCAGAGTGGAACGCTTTTGACCGAAGCATCAGAAAGAAACTATCAATTGCCAGTTTTAAGCGCGCTTTATACAAGAAATTTTTCACTGATCAGAAAACCTCCCCGCTCCTCAAGATATGAGGCTTCTTTATATTAAGATTTTATTTCAAGACGTTTTTGCCATTTTTAAATGTATATTAAGCTTTTTGTTTTTTTAACTGTAGATATTTTTACTGTTTAATGTATATAGCCATAGAGTGTTAAAGTTCTTATAATACTGATTTTACTTTTTAGATGCTTTTTATATTGCAATGAGGGCCACGAATTTGTCAATGTTTTTATTAACTATCGTCAAGTGTTTCCGGGGGGTACTCAACAAATGTTTATACGATGAGGCTCGGTCCCGAGGTCCAGCCCCTAATCTTTTTATATACTAACCATTTTTCACAAAAAAGGTACCGCTTTCGTATACCTTCTATTGACAAATAGTACCCCTTTCACATACCTTGTTTAGAACTTTGCATCCCTTTAAATTGCTGTAAATGTACTGTTTTTTAAGTAGGAATCAATCACAAAAATAGAACGTTTTCTCGACTTTTTAAAACCACAAAATTTATCTGTTGGCGATTTTAGACCCTTTTACAGACCCAAATGGCAGATTTCTCTAACCTTTTAAATACATCAATTAGTGAAATCCCTACCCTTTCATATACATGAAGTCTGAAAAAGATATCTCGTTCGGGCGGGCCTCCCCATATAGGCTATCATAGGAAGTACCCCCCGGGCAAGTATTAAACTCCATAATTAAAGCCTGACTTACTTACTTACTAAGTCAAAGCTTCCTTTGAAAATAAGTTGATTTGTCGTCTTGATTACTTTTATATTTTCATGCGAATAGTGTAAATAAGGGGTCACTGCTTAAAATCCAGCATTCTCAAGAGATTTAAGAAGAGATTTCCTAGACAACTGGATGAAAGTACGCAATGAATCACCACATTCTATTTCTTTGAATCCCCGTTTCGAAATCTCTGGGGTTGTAAAAGTATTTGAAAACCCCCAGCCACTGGGCGAAAAACCAAAATACGTTTTTAGTCAATTGCGATTTCTTGGATAACTTTGAATGATACAAAAGGAATTCGCCATAAATAATTAGGGTAATAGGCTAAAGAAATCTTCAACTGGGCAGCATTTTGCTTGATCACTTGACAGTACGGAATCAAAACACACAGCCTCATGATCGTAATAAGTAAAGAATCAGGGATGAGTCTAATGATAACATGCCTCCGAGTCGATCAGAGAATAACTAAAATCAAATTATCTCACAAGCGTACCATACTGTGTTTGCGTTGCGAACTGATGTGCCAAGTACAAGTGCAAAGGTGGATTTCCACTGTCGCGTAATTTTCGCGTACGCATGTGCGTAAAATTTACGTTCGCAAATGTTTATGAGGCAATGTATGATAGATTGCACGTAAAATGTAAAAGTTGAACCTTGCTAAACTTCACGTTGAAGCGCAACACCTCATACCTTGTCTTTATTTTATTTACGTGAGTAAACTTTACATGCGGGTACACGCACGTAAAAATTACGCGACAATGGAAATCCACCTCAAGTCGGTCATGAAAAAATAGCCAAAGTTCTAAATATAAATGACACTTAAGTTTTAAAGTTTTATTTAATTGGTCCCTTAATAACTATTTACTCTTGTAACATCTTAACTGGCACAAGTCTAGCTGAATCACTCTGACAAAGGCCCGTTGTAGTTCCTTTTTCATCCTGACTGGACTTGAAGGCTGTCAATCTTACTCATTTAAATTTTAGTTTTACATCAGTAAAAATCCGATTCGCTACGATAATTATTAACATATTTTCCTTCGGAGCTGTGGCGTAATAAGGAAGTCAACCTTTACCCTAAAAATTCACATAGGTCCAGTAAATGTCCAGCCAAAGCAAAATAGTCAAGAGAGATATAAAAATTACAAGAAATGTTTGTATGAAAAAAAATCATCTATATGTACAATACTGTTCGTCATTTCGCGTACAGTACTAAGATTGTCGTTTGAAACCTTCTTGTAGGAATAATGTGACATTACGGATAAATCCTACCTTTTTAATGCATTAAGTCAAAAGTTGCTTTCAAGTTTATAAGGAAAAACCAATTAGCTAAGAACATAATTGCATGGACATCTAAGAAGAGATGTTACTCAACAACTATCTCACTTAAACCAAATCATGGTTAAATTATGGTTAACGAAATAAAGATAAACGATTTGATTGACAGACTCCGATGGACAGGGTTTCCAGTCTCTAAAACACAGGCTAGCTCAATAAAAGCCTGCCAAACAAGATCAAATAAAACAGACTGGTAAAAGCCGTTTTTCCTGGCCGAACTTAACTTATCTGGACAAATGGGCCATTTACAGAATACGGTCTCACAGTTTAAAAACACTTTGTATTGCTGGATGGCAAACGAAGCAGTGTGACCTTGAAAAGAAAAGATGCATTGTTTTCCATCCAGCATGCAAAGAGCCCATTTGACTGGTCAAGAAAAAGGGAAATAACGCACACCAAAGGTTCCATTGTTTGCCCTCTAAGATTCATAAACAAAAGATAGAACACAAGTACCATATTACATTACGGCACGTGCGCGTTAAAAAAAAGCCAACGGCCAAAAGGAGTGTCCCAACCAAGTCATAAATTTAAGCAAATGACTACTAATAAGCTTAGTATTTTCAGTGTAACTCACCTGTCTATTAAAATATACCTGGAAATATCCCAAACCAAAACAATAACTGGTAAATACTTCACAAGTCACAGTGTTTGACCATTACTTTAATAAAAACATGCAAAAACATACAACAGTAGTTAATAGGTTTCTAAATTCACAGGATTCAATAATATCACGCGACAGTCCAATTCCAAATGGGGCAAAAATTATTTTTTAACACTGTAAGCATGTCAAAACTCTATCTGAGTTGAAACAAAATAAATACAGCCCATAAATGAAGCCCATAGATGAGCGGCACCAGGTCTTCAACCTCCGGAGAGCGCTGAAGCTGCCCTCGCACGAACAGCCTCCGATTAGAAGCAGTAGAAGAGTTAGTACCAGCTTCAAAATGGTGGAGATATTAGGGCAGAGCGGCTCGGCACAACAGGCCACCGACCATGATGTTTTCACATTTACTTGTTTCTTTCTTTATTTTGTTTGCTATCAGTGTTATACTATCCTACTTCAAAGAAAAATGACTGGCAAGCGCCTCGGTTTGCCTACTATTGGTTACGACCCTGTGGACGCGCGACGCAAATTAAACCCCGCTACCCCTCAATAATAATAATAATAATAATAATATTTATTATTTGTATTGCGCCTTTTCTTTAAAATATTTAAAAGCGCATCACAATAGTAATTAATAAGTAAATTTTACAAACCTTTCTGTCATAAATCT